CAGATTAGTAACCGGTCACTACGATTAAAAAATCCAAATCTTAAAATACTTAAAAATACTTAAGAATACTTATCAGATACTTCGAAAAACTTAATTGATACTAGAGCTTTAGTTTAGAATGGGATGCCCCTAGAATGTTATCGTTGATCTGTAAACTTAATTTTAAGATTTTCAATAGACCATAAAGGTTAAATGAACCTTCCACCATGGGGGCTTCAAGTAGTCTGTTGGTGAGTAAATAAATAAATAAATAGTTGGTGCTTCATACAACGTTTCATAAAGCACAAACTTTGGTTCTTCTCTCCCTTGTAGCGTATTTTCTACATTGCTAATTACCCTAACCCTCTCTTTAAAATCATTATCGCCGTAATTTCCATGATTGAATTCCAACTCCGCACTGGCATGATCACACGTCTCCGAGAATGAATAAAATCCGCGATGGTGTCCAGCCGACTAGGTGTGAAACAGCTGTGAAGAAATTGAAAAATGAAAGAAAATTGCCGAGATAAGGTTTCAGCGATTGCGTTAGTCATTACTATTTCATGCACTTTTCTGCGATTAGCTTGTCTCCGGAGAAAATGTAATTATTTTTGAACTACTAACGACTGCCAGAGCCCACATTAACATACACCTGCCTTCGCAGCGCCACCCACCGTCATATTTCACGGATAACTCAATCACAGCCAGCAGCAGCGAGGGGATTCCTTTTTCTCGCCAGGAATTTTCGCATTCGTGGGAAAACTTTTCTACATTTCGTCGGCAGTAGAACTCAGACTTTCTCTCCTACATTCATACACACACACAAACACGGTTGCTCGTTACAGTTGCACGAAGCAATGCAAACTTTTCACGATTGGGAAAAATGACAATTTAATTTTCCTTTCCCTTGACTGCTGCTGCGCTGCTGGGAGAGAATAAGTCGCTTGCTAAGTCGAACGTGGCGCAAACTTTATGTGAAAATATTAAAATTAGATTTTTGCTTCCATGGAATTCCACGAACCGACTTTTGCAGGCTCTTTCGTCCCCTTAGTCGACCGAGGTGGTAAGCGATCCAAATACCTGGTCCGGAAGCCAGCGAGGGGGAGCTTAGAAAGAAAACGCAAAGTCCCCCCCCCCCTATCCTCGCGTTCCTGCCCAGTGTGCACAGACGGAGACTGAAATTTCAATACTCAATTTCCGTTCATAAATCACGACCACCTTCGTTTTGGATCGAGCTCAGGAGGTATGAAGTAGCTGGCAGCGGAGAAATGAGAGTTTGAATGAAGAAATCCCGGAAACAGTGCTAAATATATGTGTCTTTTTTCATTCCTTTGCTCTATCACTCCGCCAAGCAACTGCAAGTTTTCTTTTCACATGTGTGTCTCACTCCCGTTCCGATCGAGTGTATTGGAGTGTGCATTTCCAATGGGAGAAATGTAAAGTGAACTGTGGGTTTTTAAAGATGTCAGAAGTATTGAAAGTAGGGTTGATAAAAACTTTTGCATAAGCGCCCAATTCCGTCATATGGAACAAAAATTTCAGAATGTGTATATCAATGATTTCGACATGAACCAATCAATCATACGTATGGTGCGGAAGATTGGTTCAATAGTTAGAACATAAAGATAGGAACGCATAATATTACTATTTACACCCATTTTGTACGATCGGGGGCAGACTTGAAAACTGTCACTGTAGAAGTCCCGAAATGACTGATCATAGTCACCCTTTTTTTAATTTTATCACTCTCGAATCGGTTTGTGATGTAATCATCTGAAAAAAAAACATGCCACATCGTTAAGCATGTGTTAAACTAGTCCTTGATCGTTCGGTTTTTTTTTTTAATTTTTTTGACAAAATGGCAGCCTTGCAAAGTTGAAGTGCCAATTTTTGATCCTAAGAATATGTCTTTGATCGGCTGTAAAAAATCGAAATTAAATGATAGACGAAATCCGAACGATCGTGGACTGCACAAAATAGTACTGAACACGAATGTATACATTTCGAGAAATTTTTGGCACTGGTTTTGAAAATATGATTCCGAGATAATCGCGTTTAAAGTTTCAAGTTGGCTTTAGTCCACTATAAGTGAATATTTTTGTACGTCGCATAACTTTCACAATTTTCATCGGATCAACTTGATCTTTTGAGGAAATATTCTTGACTTTATATACTATACTTTAAGACAATAAAAAAATCGATTTTTTGAAAGTTTGCAGGTAGGCGTAGCCCCTTAAAAGTGAGTGTCATCTCAGCAGCAATTTTTCTATCAATCAGTATTGTTGACATTCGTTTACCTATCATTGATGATAATCGTGACATTAATTTTTTCCTGCGGTTCTAGCGCACAGTTTTGGTGGCCTTCCCACGAAGAAACTGAAAAAAAGTTTTTTTTATTTATTAATATCAACTGAAGGATTCTGCATTTTGAACGGTTGTTAAGGCCCAAACGCAATGTGGACGGAAGCGGAACGGAAACGAGAAGTTTGACAGTTGTCACAAATGACATCAAGATGCCTAACCGAAGTCAATTTGATTCTAACTAGCTTTCAATCCGACAAATACGCTAACTCAGATCGGGCTTTTCCGCTGCCGCTGCCGTTCCGCTTCCGCTGTCATTGCGCTTGGCCCTTTATCCCTATCCGAATAATTTTAAACTGATAATATCCGACTAAAATTATCCGGATTTAAAAAAGTGGATAGGGATAATATTCATTATTTTTCTACATGGATACTATCCGGAGTTCTCCGAACAGCTTATGTTTAGAATAGGGATGTTTGATATCAAATATGTACCCATAAATATGTGAATTTTTGGAATCGGATGTCTAGAGTCTGGAAATCGATATCCGACGCCATTTTGAAATCCAATATGGTGACGATTTTGTAAAAAAAGAGGCCAATACGCTACAATATGGGTATTTTCGGAACGGGGACGACGTGTACATACCGAAAATTAATTTTCGACGCCATTTTGGAATCCAATATGGGGGTCATTGGGTTTCTGAAAAAGCAACAAATACCCATCAATATGGGTATATTTGGAACGGGGACGACGTGTAGATACCGAAACTCGGTGTCCGACGCCATTTTGGGCTCCAATATGGCGGCCATTGGGCTCTAAAAAAGTGGTAAATACCCTTCAATATGGGTATTTTTGGAACAACGTTGACGAGTAGATGCCGAAAACTGATGTCCGATGCCATTTGGGAATCCAATATGGTGGCCATTGACATCAGAAAATGTGGCAAATACCCAACAATATGGGTATTTTTGGAACGGTGACGACGTAAAAATGCCGATAATTGGTGGCCATTGGGTTCAGAAAAAGTGGTTTACCCTACAATATGGGTATTTTGGAGACAGGGATAATCGGTAGATTTCGAAAATCCTTGTCCGACATCATTTTGAAATCCAAGTAGCAAATACCTTACGGGGACGACGTGTAGATACCGAAAATCAATGCCTGACGCCGTTTTGGAATCCAATATGGCAGACATTGGTTTCAAGAAGATTCAAACACCCTACAATATGGATATTTTCGGATAAGAGACGACGTGTAGAAGCTGAAAGTCGATGTACGATTGAAGTCCAATATGGCGGCCATTGGTTTATAAAAACCTGTGAAATATCGTACAATATGGGCATTATCAGAACGAGGACGACACGTAAAGGCCGAAAATCAATGTTCAACGCCATTTTGGAATGCAAGATGGTAGCCACCTGTTTTAGACAAAAAAAAAACTACAAGGGACAGCCCTATGGGATTGTGCGCAATGGTGACATAGGACTACGTGGAAATTGAGTTGGGTTCACAAAGTGTACCCCCATATAGAAATCATAGACGTAGTCCTACGTGAATAGTTTAAAATATTATACGATATGGTCGCCATCCTGGATTTCGAATAGGCGTGTGACATCAATTTTCGGTATCAACCCGTCGTCCCGTTCCAAAAATACTCATATTTTAGGGTATTTACCACTTTTTCTGAACCCAATGACCACTATATTGGATTTGAAAAGGCGTTGGACATCGAATTTCGGCATCTACACGTCGTCCCCGTCCCGAAAATACCCGTATTGTAAGGTATTTGCCAGTTTTTCGCTCCCATAATGGATTTTAAAATTGTGTCGGATATGAATTTCCGGACTCTAGACATCACCCCGATTCCAAAGATACCCATATATTTATGGATACATATTTTATATCAAACATTCCTATTCTAAACATACTGTTCGGAGTACATCAGGATAGAAAAATAATGGATAATATCCAAGTTAAAATTATCCGGATAATTTTTTACTTGGATATTATCCGGAGGGAAAGAAATGTGCATAGGAATATACTATGTTTATTTCTATCCGCTGGATAGGTCTATCCAGATAATTATATTATCTATATAGATTAGTGACATTTAACGCACGCCGTGTAAAGTTGTTTATTATTTTCCTATGGCTAACCTAAAAAATGTATGAAATTATGTCTGTCAAAATGAGTTCGACAGCGATTAGCTATGTATTTTCCTCGGATTTTCACTAAAACGCTCTCACGTATTTGATTTTGTAACCAAACACGCGAAGAAGTCGGTGATTCTCGCAAATAAAACCTCGATCTCGCAAGGAGACAATACCAAATGATATAGGAATCATTTCTCTACCTAATTGTGGTGTATGCTTTCAAGGTTGAGATTTTAATTGCGAGAAATCGGTGATTGGCGTGTTTTGTTACAAAAGTAAATACGTCCAAATCTCAAAATTCTCCAGCTCACGATCATCAAAACAACAACAACCCTAACTTGTTGTCTGTGTCACACTCAGTCTTGACTTGACGTCTCATCATCTACTCACTCAGTCGGCACTCAGGTTCCGATTGATTGATTTATCTTTATTAAGGAGGCTTACTCAGGTTCCGAATGTCAGATATGAACGTCACTCTTTCGAAGAATTGTCAGATAGCTCAACAAGTCAGTCGGCAATGTGTGATCTGTCGTATTAGGAAGGCTGTTCCACAACCACCCATGATGGCGCCCCTACCCGAGGTGCGAGTTACGGGACTAGTTCATCCCTTCACGCACACTGGAGTGGACTATTTCGGACCGATACAGGTTAAGGAAGGATACAGTTTGGTGAAGAGGTGGGTGGCGCTTTTCACGTGCCTCACGGTTCGCGCCATACATGTAGAGTTGGTGCATAGTCTATCAACTCAGTCCTGCATCATGGCGATTAGGCGATTCGTGGCCCGTCGAGATTCCCCGGAGTCCTTCCACAGTGACAACGGAACAAATTTTCTGGGGGCCAGCAACTTGTTGACCAAGGAGATCCAGGATATCCATGAAGACTGCGCGGCGACGTTCACCAATTGGGCGACCAGCTGGGAGTTCAACCCAGCATCGGCGCCCCATATGCGCTCAATGAAGGTCGCGATGTCAGAAATTGCAGGTTATCCTCATCACCCAAGCGACGAAGTACTACAGACGGTAGCCACAGAAGCGGAGCCGATTGTAGATTCCAGGCCGCTCACCTACATTTCACTGGAGTCTACGGAGCAAGAGTCTCTAACGCCGAATCATTTCTTGCTGTTCGGTACGAAGGGAGTCGTTCAACCAGCAACTTCGGTGAACTCAGTAGTAGGGAGCAGTTTGAGGGACAGTTGGCACCTTCCGCAGCACTTAGTGGACCAGTTCTGGTGTCGATGGATACGCGAGTATGTGCCCACTATTACGAGACGCTCTAAATGGTTCGAACCAGTCAAGCCTTTAGAACCAGGGGATCTTGTCCTCGTCGTCGACGAAGGCAAACAGAACGGTTGGTTGAGAGGACGGATTATGAAGGTGACCAAAGCAGCGGATGGACAAGTTCAGCGAGCAGTAGTGCAAACCAAAAATGGACTGGTGAGCCGACCTGCAGTGAAGTTAGCCCTCCTGGACCTTCGGAAATCTGGACGGTCCGAAACTACACGGGTGGGGGGATGTTACGATACCACAGGGCATTCTCATTGGTAGCTAGGTGAGTGCCGTACCACCCAAGAGCTGGCAAACAGCAAACGTCAAACAGAGCATAGCCGGTGACGTGCCGCTCAAACGTCACTTGCAGCATAAAACGACAACGTGATCGAAGAAGTTATAAAGTGATCGTGAAAGTTCTTAGGAGTAATTTAATAGTATAAAATTGAAAATATTAATAAGTTAAATTCTACCTAAAGTTATCTTAAGTCTAGATTTTTTGAACTATTGTCTAGAGAAGTGAATGAAATATCAACCTAAGTAAAATTATATACATTTTTTGCATATTTACGAGCAATGTAAATTCTAACCCTAAATTTCTTATAGATAACTAGTACGGCTAGTAGTACGGCTGGATTTATATTAATTGTTTACTTTTACAAACCTAAGAGTAAGTACTTATTGAAACTTATCCTAACATGCAAAAGTTGTTAAACCTAATCACAATTTATAAAACCTAGGTCAATTTATTGCTAGCGGAAATTCACGTTCATATAGTTTCGGGTTTGAACAACACGAAAATGTAAGTTTATTTTAATTTAAAAACCATAAAACTAAAACAAATATACAAATACAGCTTTGAAGTTGCTTATGCTGCTATCAAAACGTGTTTACGTGTGCCCGAAAATCTATCCGAACATGATCTTTGATGACCTTGAGTTATTGGAGATCAGCTTCCGATGTTTTGGGAACTGCAGACATTTCAATGAAGTCGACTTCACAGCGCTGTTGGTGACACGAACTCAGTGTTTACTTTTCATTGCCGCTGTTACAGACTCTGGACGACTTGTTCCAATGTTTTAATTGATCGCTCAAACCTTTCCAAAAGCCTCTGAAGACCGACCACTGATTCCATTCCAAGGTTTGGCAGTATGTAAAGCGCCTGAACCCACGTTTTCTTTAGCAATTTGCTGTTATTATATCGCCTTTTAAGATTTGTGATTTGCAAAGAATCTACTAACGACTGCGCTCAACCTCCAAGATAACTCTTAAGGTAATGGAATTTTTCTACTTCTGATAAATCTGGCTTCCGGTGAATCAATCAATCAATGAAAGCTCAGCCAGTTTAATATGATCCATCCTTCCATGCAACATTGCAGCTGATTCATCAAGAGCTGACGTATCTGTGAATTTCTCGGCCTTGTCATGCAAAAATTACTAGACGTCATTAGCAAATCAAAGTTGGCTCCCGTGGAGCACTTTTTTAAAATCTGATTACTGCTGCGATGGTAAAAAAGCTGAAATCTATGTGCACAGCTTAAAATCTGAAAAGAAATTAATTTTTCTATATTATATGTCTAATGAGTAGCCTTTAAGTTTTCTACTATCTTAGCATCAACCAGATGTTATTAAAATAATTTGTTTGCAAAATAAATGCATGTTAAGATTGCACTCGTATGCGAAAAATTTGAAAACATCATCACTTTCATAGTTCTTCTATCCTCCACTGGAGTCAACTTTGATTTGCCAATAGCATTGGTTTACAAAATCCGAACGTTGCTTTGAAAATGCATCACTTTCAGTGTATTCCTCGTGAGTTTCGATTGAATAGAGAGAATCACTAGTTTTCTCCCATAGATCATCTAAACGTTCAAGACGCACGTGGGTTTGGCTAGCAGTGGTACCCTCCGAAAGTTTACAACAAATTCGCAGATATTGTTGACGGAATTAACGCGACTTCAGTGGTAGCCCTTCCTTGGATCTTGAAGGCACCTTGACGAATTTTAAAATAGCATCGTCTAAACGAATTTATGGACGATGCACCCCGGTACAACAAATCCAAAATCGAAAGAAAATAGAGGTGTAGTATCTAAATGGCCCACTTAGGCTAAACATATACTATGTAGTCTCACCCAGAGACGATGTTTTATAAGTGACGCGCGGAGGAGAGAATAAAAGTAAATCTGGTTGCACGGCCATCTAAGTTATTTTGCTGCCAGGTTTGGCAGCCCACAATTTTGTGTCTACTTCGAGTGACTTTTAATTTGAGCGAATACTTTTTTGATCGTTTCGGTAGTATCGGTATTCAAACGAAGTATTTGAATAATCAATTTTTGACAACACAGAGTGAAACCAAGTATACCATATTGGAGCGGATATTTTACAAAGCAATGCGCAAAATTATGCAATCTGTGGGTCATGCTTCCTACCCTATATGAATGAAATCTCGAATGAATGCATTTGCTCGTCGATTTGGCTTAACTGGTAGCTCGCCAACGCATCTAACACTACCATCATTACCTGATATTGGTGTTAGTATGCGTGGGTGAGCTACCAGTTAAGCCGACCGATGATCAAATGCATTGTTTACAAAAGCAGATATGTCCATTTAAAAAAAGTAATCGAGAAGTTCCTTTTCTGAAGTCTTTCACCAAATTCATTTGTTATTAAAAACTTGACAATCGACAGCGGCTTTGTAATTTTTTAAAAATATTTGCCTCTTGGCATTGATGTAAATATAGACAAATTATCTCAAAAGATTTTACTTGTGTTTTATTTGTATTGCAAAAGTCAAATAGTATCCAATTGCACTTTTCATGCGGCAACCATAATGAAATTGTTATGTTTATGTTGCCCAACGACGTATTTCGGGTATCATTCAAACCATTTGTAGAATAGTTCAATAAGTTGTGTTATCATTCGTTTATGGCATTTTTTATTGGGGAAACTTAATTATAATCATTTAAATCTTAAAAATTTAATTTAAACCGCCATCTCAATACTCCTCACGCTTTTCCTCTTGAAGAGCTCGTGTTTATTTACATTGCTCGATTGGAACCACGTTTGACGGTTCGATTGGAACTTTTGGCTTCAGTCTTCGCGCGTCTCTTGTTATCGTCTCTGGTCTCAGTCTCACCTTTGAAACTAATAGCTGCGCTCGATGACCGAAGAATTCCAGAAGCAAACTTCAATTTTCTAAAAGCTCGTTGCATACTGATTAATGAATTGAATTCCATAGGGGAAAAGTTGGCTTCGGCAATACCTTAACCTATTATCGACAGGGGGGGGAGGGTGTGGTAACCAAAGTCCTAGAGCACTCAAATTTAGCCAATAGTTGCTCTGAAACACAATATATCCACATGCCAAAATTAAACTCTCAAGGACATTGTTTACCCTCCTGACGATAATAGGTTAAGGTATTGCCGAAGCCAACTTTTCCCCTACGGACATATTTCAAACTAGAGTCCAGACGACGTTCTGATGTGACGAATTTTATGATTTTATGATTTTTCCACAGACGATACTCTTACCCAACCGCAACAAAAAAGCTCCTTCACCGGTGTTCCGTTGGGTTGGAAAATCGTATTCATCGCAAAACTCGAAGGAGGAAGCAGCAGTTCAGTTCAGAAGAAAGCAGCCCAGCTGAGGGAAAAAGCTGAATACTGGACCGGAAACTGTTGGTACTGTTGCTTCTACTGTTGATGGTGTTCTTGACGGTGGCAAACATACAATACACCCACACACACACACACTCCATGGAGAAACAGACAAGCCCGGAGAAATACGAGGATCGGAAAAAGTTTAACGAATAAATCAAACCAGGCACTACACTACCTACCGACTGCCGACTGCTCCCAGTTCCAACGGACGAGTAGTGTAAATTTATTGCGATAGAAGAAACAGCCAGCGTCTTCCTCTGTGTGTGTGTGTGTGAGTGTGTAGTGTGGAACAATCAGAGAAAAACGAGCCTTCGGGGCTCAGCTGCCAGCAGGCTTCAGCAGAGGGCAGCAGCGGGGTGTTAATGGGACGATCGTGATTTTCGGCACTTTCCAGCTTCGGCAGTGGGTCGTCGACTGCTGTTGGAATATACTTGGGACAATCCAAGCATTATTGTGAGATGGGAATAATTGGAGCTGGATATTGAGGTAGGGTGTCGAGTTATTCCAATCAGGGGATTGCATTTTCCAAGCTTTACTTTGAGCAAAACGGAGACAAATGAATAAATAACTTAGTTTGACATTTGTGTCAGTGTATGGTTATTTTGACATGGGCAAGAAGGAGGTTGTATTACACCCCACACGCATCAATATATTGACGCGAAGGGGAATTATTGACAATAATATTGATGATGTGAATTCAGAAATATTGTCAATCTCGATATATTGACGTCAATATAGAATGTATTGACAATACGATTATTGTCAATAAAAGTAATCGTGTAGGGTCCACTTTAGATTTATTTCGTCCTCGTATGGCTTGCAGAGGTGGCCCACACACACTTGTTCGGTTTCTGGCTTGATTGAAAGAGGGAAAAGCAAGGTAAAATTGCAACATCGGCAATACCTTAACCTATTATCGTCAGTGGGGCAAACAAAGTCCTTGAGTGCTCACATTTAAATAATCGATAACACAAAAAATGGCGCTAAAGAACTGCATCTATCTCCTTGACGATTATAGGCGCCAAGTTAGGAGGACATTGTACTTAAGGGCCGCCCGTTAATTGTCATACATTTTTTAAAATGTTGCACTGAAGTATAAAAAAAGTATTCTTCAAAAAACATTATTGAGTCTGTTTACAGAAGCTGCTATCCCAATGAAAAATTTCAATCCAACCGTTAATTCAAATAAAATTTTTGAACA